GGGAAAGGAGTTTGTAACTACTCCTTTGGGTAGTGAAGGGCAACGTATGAATCCAATCTCCTCCTCCTCCTCCTCCTCGTCCACTGAATGCTGAGGGGCCTTCTTCTGAGTCCGACCAAGTTTGCAATCTTTCCTTTTTTAAATAAAGAAGCAAATGTGTTTCAGAGTGCGATTGGGGTTTCTTTTTGACTATCCTTTTCGACGTCGAGTCTCGTGTGTGCAGTTCTGGAGGCCTCGCTTCAAAAAGGGCGTGGACCGAATGGAGCGGGTGCGGAGGAGAGTGAGGAGGACGATCTGGGCCTGGAGACCAAGAAGCCGGACGAGGAAAGGCCGAGGGACTCGGGAAGGTTCAGTCTGGAGAAGAGGCGGTTGAGGGGCTGTCAGTTTGAGGAGGAGGGCCGGGAGCTGTTCCTGTGGGCAGCAGAGGAGGGGACTCACAAGAATAGGTTGAAATTAAGGGCGGGAAGGTACCGGCTGGATATTAGGAAACACTTCTTTGCAGCAAGAGTTGTGCCACAGTGGAATCGGCTGCCTCGGGAGGTAGTGAGCTCCCCCTCCCTGGCCGTCTTCAAGCAGCGCCTGGACAGACGCTTGTCAGGGATGCTTTAGGCTGATCCTGCATTGAGCCAGGGGGTCAGACTAGATGGCCTCTATGGCCCCTCCCGACTCTGTGATTCTAGGATTCTGTGATTCTATCCCATAATAAGCAGAGGCAGGTACTTCAAAGGCACAATCAACCTCGATATGAAATATCAGCGCCACCGAATGCATCGGATTCTCTTTTTTCCAGTCAGATTTCTCCTGATGCGTTTTTCTTCCCCACATTTAAATGAAAAACAAGGGTGTATTTTCCCCCCCGATTGGGTCACCCCCCCAAATCACTAGGGTTGCCAGCCTCCAGGCGGGGCCTGGGGATCTCCGGCTTCTACCACTGAGCCCCAGCTGACGGACACCTGCTCGCCTGAAGAAAATGGCTGCTTCGAAGGGGGGACTCTATGGCCCTTTTGGTGTAGTGGTTAATGTGCTCAGACTCTAATCTGGGAGAACCGGGTTTGATTCCCCCACTTCTCCACTTGCACCTGGCTGGATGACCTTGGGCAAGCCGTAGTTCTGATAAGAGCTGTTCTTGAAAAAAGAGCAGTTTCCGTCAGAGCTCTCTCAGCCCCACCTACCTCACAGGGTGTCTGTTGTGGGGAGAGGAAGGGGAAGGAGATTGTCAGCCGCTCTGAGACTCCTTTGGGTAGTGAAGGGCTGGGTATAAATCCAATCTCTTCTTCTTCTCTTCATCGTCCCCTGCGGAGGCCCCTCCCCTCCCCTCCCCAAACCCCGCCCTCTCCTGGCTCCACCCCCAAAGTCTCCAGCTGTTTCCCAACCCAGACCTGGCCACCTTAGAAATCACCGTTTTCATGCATTGTTCTTAGCCCTAATGATCCATTGTGGTTGTTCCAGTTACCAAAGCAACCCTTTGAGACAATATATAGGAGAGTCGCTCTTCTCAGCCATTATCCGGCTGTCCGGGGCAAGGTGGAAGAAAACAATGACGGGCGATATTCTTTTTTGGAATCTCAGTTTACAGTCTTGGAAGGACGCCCGTGGAACTCAGGGGGAATTACTTCTGAGTAAATGTGCACCCGATCGATGCTATTGAGTGTCGGAGCGTCTATTTTTATTGCAAAGGCAAGCGCCACACCTGTGCAGGCCCCCGTTCATCCGCCCGGCCCTCACTCTGGGTTCCAAATGTGGGTGTGTGTCGTGCCCTGGGTGAAAGTGTGGGGGGGAGGGCGGGGAGAGAGAGGAACCAGGTTGCTATTCATTAACGCCGGCGATTCTCTCGCGAAATTCCTCGCCAATGGTTTCTCGCGCCCCTGTCTCTCGCAATGGCATCGGCGAGATATATTTTTAGCCTTTTCCGTTTTTGGGTCCGCCGGTGGAAGATGTGGAGTCGATCGAGGCCGGGTGAGAAACGGTATTGCAAGAGGCATTTATGAGGTGGAGAAAAAGAGGGTTTTTTTCAGGGGGGGGGTGGGAAAGGAGAAAAAGAAGAGGAGGAGATTGGATTTATACCCCACCCTTCACTACCCAGAGATGTCTCAGAGCAGCTTACAAACTCCCTTCCCCTTCCTCCTCCCCACAACAGACACCCTGGGAGGTAGGTGGGGCCGAGAGAGCTCTGACAGAAACTGCTCTTTTTTCAAGAACAGCTCTTGTCAGAACTACAGCTTGCCTAAGGTCATCCAGCCGAGAGAGCTCTGACAGAAACGGCTCTTTTTCAAGAACAGCTCTGACAGAGCTATGGCTTGCCCAAGGTCATCCAGCAGCTGCAAGTGGAGGAGTGGGGGAATCAAACCCAGTTCTCCCAGATTAGAGTCCTCACACTTAACCACTACACTAAAAGAGTGCATGAACAGGCAGACAGTTGCAGAATTCACTGCCGTACAGTGATCAACGATGGATTGTTTTAAGAGTCTGGAACTTCACTCTTGTCTGGACGGCTCTGCAACAGCAGCTTCACGTACAGAGAGCGGAACAGAAGTCGAATAAATCAATAAGTAATAGCAACAACAACAATTCTGGGTTGTGAAATTGCTGGAGATTTGGGGGTGGAGCTTGGGGAGGGTGGAGTTTGGGAAAGGGGAGGGGCCTCAGCCTGGTATAATACCGTAGAGCCCGCCCTCCAAAGCAGCCATTTTCTCCAGGTGAACTGATTTTTGTTATCTGGCGATCAGCTGTAATTCCGGGAGCTCTCGAGGTAGGGCTGCCAAATCCCCCTGGGGGGCGGATTTCCCCCCGCTTTGGAGGCCCGATTTCCGACGCCGCGGAATCGGGGCCCGGGGGAAACCCCACCCCGGCGTCCACGTCAGCCGGATGTGACGTGTGACGCCGGGCACACTGGGGGCGGGGCCACAGGCATTTGAGGGGAAAACTGGACAGGGGTGCGAATTAGACACCCGATGGAAGGTCTTATAATAGAATCATAGAGTTGGAAGGGACCTCCAGGGGCATCTAGTCCAACCCCCCCCCCTGCACAGTGGAGGAGATCCACAAATACCTCCCCACATACCGACAGTTTGTTAAATAACATTTCGTTAACGTAGAATCCCTCCCCTCCCCCCAGTTTGGAAGAGTTAGGCATAAGAAGGCAGAGGAGAGAGACAAAGCAGATTATTTGGAGGCTTAGAGAGGGCAGCCGACCAGACGTTCTTCTCATCGGTTTTATGTCAGCCATAGGAAGGAGATATTGTCATGGTCTCTGGCAGCCATGTTAGATGTTTGATTGGTTTTACCAACCCCTTCCCCTCAAAGATAGCTTCTGACTCTTTGTCTTGTTCGAATTCTTGACCTGCTGTGTATTCTCTCTTGGATGGTTATTTTTGTGTGTGATTCCAGTCCTTGTGAATTAGGACCTGAGATTGGGAATGGCTGATTCAGTTGTTTTAGTGCTGTGTGTCCTCGTGAGAGCAGAACGTTCAAATATACATTTCCTCAAGTAAAATAAATAAAATTAGATGTCACCTGGGACCAGCATCCCTAGGATACAAACCTGTTTTAGTGTGATTTTTCTGGCCTGGCCTGCCCCAGGGGATCCTGGGAGTTGTAGTTTGCTGAGGGGGCTGAGAATTCGCTCCACCATTCCCCAATTTTTAAAGTGGTTTTAATGCTTTTTGTTGGGTGCCACAGAAGCAGTTCTCTGTACGTGATGCTGCTGGTTCAAAGCCATCCAGACAAGAATGGAGCTCCAGAGCCTTAAAATGATCCGTCGTTGATCACTGGGTGTGTGTCGAGAGCCAGTTTGGTGTAGTGGTTAAGTGCGCAGACTCTAATCTGGGAGAACCGGGTTTGATTCCCCACTTCTTCACATGCAGCTGGCTGGTGTGACCTTGGGTCAGTCACAAGTTCTCTCAGAGCTGTTCTCTCAAGGGCAGTCCTCGAGAGAGCTCTCTCAGCCCCACCTACTTCACAGGGTGTGTCTGTTGTGGGGAGGGGAAGGGAAAGAAGTTTGTAAGCCGCTCTGAGACTCCTTCGGGCAGTGAGGTGTGGGGTATAAATCCAATCTCCTCCTCCCCCTCCTCCTCCTCCTCTTCTTCTTCTTGCATTGGGTAAAGGGGGGCAGATTGGGTTATTTATTAATGTCGATGATTCTCTTGTGAAATTTCTTGCCGGTGGTTTCTCACACAGGCTCAAAAAGGTTGGGGACTCCTGGCTCATACCCGGAAAGTTTTATTTAAGTGGCGTTTTCACACACACTAAATAACACACTTTCGATCCACTTTGAGTGCACTTTGCAACTGGATTTTACTGTGTGGAATGGCAAAATCCACCTGCAAACGTTCGCTGAAGTGGATTGAAACGGCATTATTTAGCATGTCCAAAAGTGCTTTGGTCTCTAAGGTGATAAGTGGACTCGAATCTACCCAGGGGTCATTTAGTAGAAAAAGAGGTGCAGGAGCTCATTAGCATAACTTATTTGCATAAGCCACACCCCCTGACATCACCAGAAGTGTGTCAGAAGGCAACACCCACCACTCAGGCTCCACTGGACTGTTTTGGATTGCTAGCTATTGGGGGGGGGGGGGAAACGTGCAGATCTGTCCTCACAGAGGAGGGAGAGCTTGTACCTAAATAAAACTTGGCCTTAAAGGTGCTACTGGACTGTTTTGGACCAGAGGGGCAGGCGGGGAGCTCTGCAACTTACCTGGCTGCTTCTTGCTCTGACTGAGGGCCGCTGGGAGCAGAGGGTGGGGCTTGTTGCATGTGCCCGCCCCCGGGCTCTTTACTGCCGGAGCTCTGCTCCTGTGTGCTCCTGCAGGAAATGACCCCTGTATCCACCTATTTTACTGCAGACCAAACATGGCTTCACTCTGAAACAAACCCTCCAGTGTGGCAATTCTGTGCGTGGACAGGGATTGTCTCTTTCTGTACAGACTCACACCCTAGAAAAAGCTGAAATTGGCCATAGCGGTCCCAATGATTTCATTCCCTTATTGCCTCTTCTCTTCCAGGATGCGCTTTCTTGACCTACTGCGCTCGGGAGTCAGCCCTCAAGGCCCAGAGTGCGCTTCATGAGCAGAAAACACTGCCAGGGGTAAGTGCGACGCGCGGGGAGAGGGACGGCTCTTCTCTCCCTCGGTTTTTGAGGTCTTCGTTTTATCTGGGGTTGCCAGCTCCCCGGGCGGAGCTCTGGGAATTACAACAGACCACACTCGCTCAGGCTAATCTCAATCTACCTGACAGGGTTGTTGTGAGGAGAATGCGGAGGAGGCAAGAAGCTAGGGGTGCCAGCTTCCAGGTGGGTGCAAAACACAAGAGACTGCTGGCTGAAATCACTTAAGGTGAACAAATATATATATATTATTTAATGCCTCGTGGGCACTCCATGAAATTGCTGAGCGGTCAGGTTAGAACAGATAAAAGGAAGTCCTTCTTCACCCAAAGAGTGATTCACACATGGAATTCACTGCCACAGGAGGTGGTGGCGGCTACAAGCATGGACGGCGTCAAGAGGGAATTGGATAAGCACAAGAGGGGGACCCGCGATACTCGCGGGGGGGGGAGAAGAGCCCCGTCTCCTCCACCCCCCCACCCCTCGATCTCCCCGAGGCAGGGGCCTCTCTTCCCCGGC